TGATTGCAATTTCTGAAATTTTTGACTATATTACAATTTAGTCTACGGGTCAAATACGTAATTCATAAAAAATGTATTAAAAATATTGTTTTATATATTTTCATAAATATATATATATATATATATTATGTACTTCGAAAAAAATATTAAATAAAACAATTAAAATACTAAAACGAGCATAAAAATATCTACTCCATAAACTGCACAATAATGTTAGATGAGCAGTACATTATTGTCTATCGGAATCCACCTTATGGATTTATGTATTTTCAAACATCAATAATATTAGAAAAAAAAGAAGAAAATAATTTTTTTTTTCCCGGAACGATAGAGGTAATATAAAAGTGCACAAAAGTGCAAAAGGAACAAATTACAAGACCCCAACAGGGTAATATCTAAGGCCCCAACAGGGTAATGAGACAGGGGCCAACAGCCCAAACCAAAAACACGCCTAAAAAAACAACAGAAATAGAAACCTGAGAGGACACGCACGTGGCGGCCTAGAGAACTCCACAAAACGAAAAAAAAAGAAAATGAAAAACAGAGCCACTGCACAATGCCTAGCCTGTATTCATTTCCCAAACAAAAACGAACAGACACACAGACTCAAACAAACTACAACAAAGACAAGACAAAAGCAGACACAGACAACCCAAACGAAAGCAACACAAACTAAAAACTAAAAAAAACACTGATAGCTCCCTCGCCAGCAAATCCAACCAGACTAGCAGTCACCAAATCAACCCAGGGGATCCAACAACATGAGAAGAGCGACCCATCCACTGCCAAATTGCCTAGCTGAATCGAACCTCAAATCTCGAATCACACCCAAAGCCAATTCTCCCAACGCCTGAAGACACCAAGAAAGCTCCCAACACAGCCAGGCCGAGCCCCTAACACCACTAGCGGACTCCGAAAGAGCAGTGAGCACCCCGGAACCCAAAGAACCAGGGAAAACGAAGCTTACTCAACACCTCAGCGCCTGCCCAACCATCCCGAAGGCACAGAGACGCCTCAGCCACAAAGGAACCCAACCCCGAACCGAATGCACCAAACCCGGCCTCCCCACATTTAGCCGCAGCCGCTTAGCGCCACCAAACACTGGAGAGAACAGAGAAAGCACCAAACACCGCCAGTCGCAGCAAAAGAAAACCGAGACAAGAAAGGCGAGAAAAGAAAACTCACCCTCGATTGAGACCGGCGAAACCAAGTCGTCAACCAGAAGCTCGCTACCTACCACCACCCTTCCGCCGGTGAAAAGGAACAGTGCAGACCGACAGCACACCATTGCGATCGGAAAAACGGACCAGGGAGTCCGTTCAAGCCGTCGAAGGCGAGTTCAGAGAGAGACGCCGCCTGAGATGCCCATGACGCTCCGACCTAAGAAGACGGTCAGCCAGAGCCGCACCCGACCCTAACCCATCGCACCGCGACCCATGGGCCCTCC